AGCATCGACGCTCTGATGAAGGCCAAGGGCAAGCTCTACTTCGGTGCCTGCACCGACCAGGGCCGTCTCACCTCGGGCAAAAACGCGGCCATTTTGCAGCAGAACTTCGGCCAGGTCACGCCTGAGAACAGTATGAAGTGGGATAGCATTCAACCCCAAAGGGGCCAATATAACTTTGGTCAGGCCGACTACCTCGTCAACTGGGCCACCGCCAACAACAAGACTATCCGTGGCCATACCTTCCTCTGGCACTCGCAGCTTGCCAGCTGGGTCAACAACATCCGCGACAAAAGCCAGTTGACCACGGTTCTCCAGGAACACATCACCACTGTCATGACCCGCTACAAGGGCAAGATCTATGGCTATGTTAGTTACCTGCACTCATAGTTACCCGTCAAAGTGTGGGCCTAATTGCTGACTGGACATGATCTTACCGACAGGACGTCGCCAACGAAATCTTCAATGAAGACGGCTCCCTCCGCAGCAGCATCTTCTACCAAGTCCTCGGCGAAGACATGGTCTCGATTGCCTTCAAGGCGGCCCGGGCAGCTGACCCGAACGCCAAGTTGTACATCAACGACTACAACCTCGACAGCCCCAACTACGCCAAGGTAACCACAGGCATGGTCCAGCACGTCAACAAGTGGGTCGCCGCCGGTGTGCCCATCGACGGCATCGGTACTCAGGGCCACATCAGTGCCGGAGGCGGCAACAACCTCGCCGCCGCTATCAAGGCGCTTGCTGCTGCTAATGTGAAGGAGGTTGCGGTCACGGAGCTCGATATTCAGGGTAACAACGCTGGTGATTATGCTACTATCACCAAGGGATGCTTGAGCGAGCCCAAGTGCGTCGGTATTACTGTTTGGGGTGTTCGTGATCCGGTAAGTGCTTGTTCCCGAGGAAACAGTTTTCGGTAAAGACGACGATGCTGACCATTTCTCATAGGACTCGTGGAGACCCAATGGCAACCCGCTCCTTTTCGATGCCAACTGGAACCCCAAGGCTGCCTACAACTCTATTGTCCAGGCTCTTCAGTAAGCGAGGCGGGTGGTGAACATTCATTGCAGTGTTTGGACTGTATGTTCGCTGTCAATGCCATGAGGAAGAGGTTGTATATTGCCAATGTTACCCAATGTCTGGTTACTTGTTTGGTAGTCAAAAACAGAACACCGTGGTGGGGGAGGATAGGCATATCGGCAATCAGCTGATTAGTAAAATGCTAGCTACCGGATCTGCAAATCTTGCGAGTCCCATAATTGCCTACATTAGGTTCAATTTATTGCAGTGGTTGACTAGATTCCGCCATATACATGTCTGAATGCCATAAAAGCGTATGGCTGTTCCAAATCAGGATTTACTGATCAATCTTTGCATATGGCAGGCATCGGCTGGCAAACCGTGGCAAGTGACGGTAATCGAGGACTTAGGTTGCTCATGCCTGCCGCATCCGACATCTAGTCGGCAATATAGCGGAGAGTAAACCGAAAGCTTCACCAATCCTTCGGAACCGAGATTGTCACCCTCCAGATCGGGACATTATCACGGAATGCACCTTCCGTCGCATCGAACATTTGAACCTCCGTCAATTGCTCGGCAGACACTCGGTCAAAACACGTCAGGGAAATCAACTGTGGCCCAACTTCAACTCTCAATCGGGAAGCAAAGCCTTCAAAGCCATCCACGTCGATTTTTCCTTGTGTGTTATTGAACCTTCTTTATCACGATTAGGAGTTAGAGCGGCCTGCCATGATACGGGGTGGGTTCAAGAAGGATAGTGGCACCGACACATTGAGGTGGACCTTATAGATGCAGGAGTTTGGCCCCCTGTCAACAAATAACAGCAAAACAAGCTGCATGGCGCAGCGGAAGCGCGCCGGGCTCATAACCCGGAGGTCACTCGATCGAAACGAGTTGCAGCTAGAATTTTATTTTCTTTTTTATCCTTTTTTCCCCATTTCTCAACCGATTGAGTTGTTGGCTTATCGTGCGACAATTTTTTTGTGTTCCTTTTATTGGTACGTACTTGGTGCGGATGAATCGTTGCACTATCGTCGTTGAAAGTGTTCGGTGCAGCAATCATGGAAATAGGATCAGAGGACCTTGGCAGTTTGCAACAACATGATGTCCCTTCAATGATTGTTGAACTTCGTTGCCAAAGATCAGCTGCATGTACAATGATGCTTTACTTAAGGAACTTATCCACAGCCTCTAGATTTCGTGACTTCTCGGCTCTCTTCGTTCTTTCGCTTCTTCTTAGCTAAATCCTCCCTGAATCCCCAAATCCATCGACATTCCGATCCTAGCAGCTGAATACCGATGGATCAGGGACAATGTCTGAGAGGAGGTTATTATAGTTCTGGCATTACTTGTCAGCCTCTTTTTCCTACCCTAGCCTGGTCCTATGGACAGGAAAAATTCACCTTGACAATATACCCCGGATCCGTCACCTTGGAACGCGCCCGAGATCTTTGCCAACAGCTCCGGCTCCTTGCTCCTCCCACTTCCACGCGTAATATTAACCTGTGCACAGCTGATTGAAAACTGCGGCGTACGCATGCTCAACCTAAATGAGCACTTACCTTGAGGTGTAGATATAATTGGAAGGCTGTGAAAGAGGGTACAGTGTGGTTGCTAGCCTCAGATGCCGAGGTGGGCATGGTACCCGGAATTGGAGGCCAGCAGGCGGTATCGAGACATTTCTGGACTTGTGCGAGCGTGAAGGAAGCAATCTACAGAAGAGGGAGAAAAGGTTTCTCGGTATAAAAAACAAATATAACAGGGCATGGCGACGATAGTAACAATCACTAACCCAACTTTTAGTCATGTACTGGAGGAAAGTAGGCCGTGATAAGTCCAATTCGGGAATATGTGTTTGGGATCAGGTCCTGGTGTTGAACGAGGAGTATGACGGGATGTGATGGTTCGGACGCTGATGGTTGGGAAAGAGATTGCTGCAGAGAGCCGAATTTGGAAAAAAAAAGGACTGCAATAAGATGATGCACTAACGGAGCGAAGTGGACAGCAATGGTGCGCCTGTTACTGCAATATGTTAGCGAACCTCCAGAAATCGGGCTCCACTTCAAGTCACTAACAATTACCGCTAATCACCGCTAAAAGACTGACCATGTGCCACGAGCCCGGCAATCAGGTACGGTCTCGATACAGTACCCTTCTTCAACCTGTGTCTGTCTCTGGATGACTCAAGTATCACGCCATCTCAGGGGCATGTAAGAGAAGCGTGACTATTGAGGGTCGAGATCGGTCTGATCTGGTGAAGTGTACGGGGCCGAGAGGTTGGTACATACCGGGGGTAGCATATGGACCTTGTCCGAAGATGTTGCTGGAATCGGAGGCCCGTTGCAGGCCATATCTTTGGAGTTGAAACTGGGTTGATGCTGATGGTAGTGATCAAGGCAAAAGTTTCAAGAACGGCACAACAGCGGAAACTTTTCTTACACCATCGTCGAAGTCCGGACGCTATGGTTAATCCCAGCACATTTGACCGTCTCTCGAAGTCCCTTGATGTCTTCTCATATTTATCCTAGAATCCTCAAACCTCTGACCTAGCCCACATGCCGAAAGTCTCAGTGCTGTTGGCCTTAAAGACGTGAGGCATGATCACGATAGGAATAATGGTGTTCATCAACAAGGTATTCGACTTGGACCAGTGAGATCGATGAGGCTGATGCCGACCTCGTGAAAATACTTGCCCGCGCAGGGAAATGGGAATAGTTCAGTTGGCCATCAATGCATGTAGTAAGCCAGAGACAGCCGACATCTGAAACCCGGAACTGCCTGCTTGATGCGGCTCTCCGTCATCCGGATAGATTGATGCCTTGGAGTTATTTCGTTGGCCGTAGCTCGTTTGCTAGTCGTGGTCTTCCATAGTTCAAACCGAAGTCGTAAAGATGTGCAGAGAATCCAAGACCAGATAGATCATGGATGTGCTTACCAACGTGAGGAGCAAGGGGGACCGTCCGTCTGGGAGCCCATGCCCAGAAATGCCCGGACAGTCGGTTTTTGTTGCCATGACCCCGCACAACGAGTGCCCTGCTCAAGAGCAAAAGGTTACTGCACTATCAGCGTAGACGCTGACCTGCGTGGCAGACGCGATAGCACAGCATCTAGGCTGCGTCTTTGGACACCTCTACCTACCTCTTACGTTTAGCGACATCCCATCCGATGCAACAACACTCCGAGTCCAACAACCAAACAACATCATCTGGGCCTCGGTTCACGGCATCACTTCGTTGGACGGAAGCTTGTCATTTACCAACACTCATTATGAGTGGAGAATCATTCATGTCAACAACAAGATGTAGCTTTTTTTCCCATCGCCAAGCGCTCCGAAGACTGTTGTGGCAAGCACCGAGTGTAGAGATGGGAAACCTGGAGGATGGCCCGCCGGACCGCAACATCAAGTACAAGACGGATGCTTCATATAGCCTGATTGGCCCGACCATTGGTTCGCTACCCTTCTTGCGGCTTACGATGTCTGGGGGTAATGACGACTGGCAATGGCTGACCGTTGATCATTAGCAACCGTTTTATCCAAAGTATGAGCAAATTCGCTGTTCGTCTAAAGGCCAGGATCGGGCGCCAGGTGATCCTTCATTCCCGGGTCATTCCTCCATAAGTTCGCATGGAGTGGATTTTCACCCTCATGGCTCCTTCCTCATCAAACATCAGCACCTTGTGGCAGTTTCCGCAAACTGAAGTCCTTTCTAAGACTCGGATGAAAGTAGCGTGGCAGAAAAAGGAAGGAGATGCTCGTTTGCTGGGTCCAGTCACTTCCGTTCAGTTGATTGAAAAGAGAAGGAACTCAAACTGGCAGCCACATCGTACGTCTAGAACTGGCAAGCGCAGATTTGGACGGTACTCGGTAGTACTACTATTTCTACTTCCGTATGCCCCAGTTGAGGTTGAACGAAAGTCAACAAACCTCCAGCTTCAACTCTTCCCAGCCAAGGTCACGCTTCCCGAGTAGCCAGATCGGGAAGATGAAGGTCTTCGCCCGCATTGGAACGATTGCTCTGGCGGCACTGTGTAAGTTGTCCTTCGGTACTCCCATCAGTGGCCCTTCGCATCGTCTGACATCAGTCAACCTCAACAGACCTACAGCAATGCTCCGCTCAATACATCAACGAGCAATATACCGATCCCGTGAACAAGATCACTCTCAGCACCTGGCGACCGGACCCTGGTTCTAATTCCGGGGGTGGAGATGCTGCCACGTACGCCTTTGGCTTGGTCTTGCCTCCGGATGCTCTGACCAAAGATGCCAACGAATACATCGGTCTCTTGGTACGGCGCCCTCCATCACATCTTTGCTTTGAAATGGACATCAGCTTACACAATTGGTAGCGCTGTGATGTTGGTGATGCGGCCAGTCCCGGATGGTGTGGTGTCTCCCACGGCCAGTCAGGACAAATGACACAGTCGTTGTTGCTCATGGCTTGGGCCTCTAAGGGCCAAGTCTTTACCTCGTTTCGCTACGCATCCGGGTATAATGTGCCAGGACTCTACACCGGAAATGCCACTCTGACCCAGATTTCTGCCACTGTGAACTCAACCCAGTTCGAACTAATCTATCGCTGCCAGGACTGTTTTGCCTGGAACCAAGGAGGAAGCAAGGGAAGTGTATCAACCAGCAGTGGCCTTCTCGTCTTGGGCCGTGCCGCGGCCAAAGGAAATCTTCAGAACCCGACTTGCCCTGACAAGGCCATTCCCGGCTTTCATGACAATGGATTCGGTCAATATGGAGCGCCTCTCGAGAAAGTCCCGCATACCTCCTACTCAGCTTGGGCTTCCTTGGCCACGAAGACGACTACCGCTGACTGCTCTGGGTACGTTTTGTTCTATGCGCTTTGTTTACATATGGTTACTAACATGTGCTGAAATAGGGCATCCGACCCAGCACCCACTGGATCCGAGCCGCCAGCCGAGCCAACTTCGACAGCGGAGCCCGTTCCCGTTTGCACACCTGCCCCAAGCAAGACGTACGACTACATCATCGTTGGCGCCGGTGCTGGTGGCATTCCCATTGCGGACAAGCTCAGCGAGGCCGGAAAAAGCGTGTTGTTGATCGAAAAGGGACCTCCCTCCACTGGAAGATGGAACGGCACCATGAAGCCCGAGTGGCTTCAGGCCACGAACTTGACCCGCTTCGATGTTCCTGGTCTTTGCAACCAGATCTGGGTTGACTCTGCCGGCATCGCCTGTACAGATACCGACCAAATGGCGGGATGTGTCCTAGGCGGAGGAACGGCTGTTAATGCCGGCCTGTGGTGGAAGGTGAGTTACTCCAATTTCATTGACCGCGGAAGCCATTTACTAACCGTGAACCATAGCCGCATCCTCAGGATTGGGACTACAACTTCCCCGAGGGCTGGAAGTCGAGAGATACCGTGCCAGCCACTAACCGTGTGTTCGGTCGCATTCCTGGAACTTGGCATCCCTCGCAAAACGGCAAGCTGTACCGACAAGAGGGCTTCAACGTTCTAGCCAATGGGCTGAGCAAGAGCGGTTGGAAGGAGGTGATCCCCAACGATGCATACAACCAGAAGAACCACACCTTTGGTCACAGCACCTTCATGTTTGCTAAGGGCGAGCGAGGTGGTCCTCTGGCAACCTACCTTGTGACGGCGGCAGCTCGCAAGCAGTTCACTCTCTGGACTAATGTAGCTGTGAGAAGGGCGGTTCGTAACGGAAGCCGTGTCACTGGTGTTGAGCTCGAATGCTTGACGGATGGTGGTCTCAGCGGAACTGTCAACGTGACCCCTAACACTGGCCGTGTTATCTTTGCTGCAGGCACTTTTGGTTCGGCCAAGCTTCTCCTTCGCAGTAAGTTATCATGATGATGTGTGAAATTACATTGGATGACTTGTTTGCTGACAGGTACGACACAGGCGGTATCGGACCTACCGATCAACTCGAGATTGTCAAAGGGTCGACGGATGGCCCAACGTTCATTTCCAAGGACCAATGGATCGACCTTCCAGTTGGCTACAACCTCATGGATCATCTCAACACTGACCTCATTATCACCCATCCTGATGTTGTCTTCTATGACTTCTACGGGGCTTGGAACACGCCCATTGAAGGTGACAAGAGCGCCTATCTACAGAACAGATCTGGAATCCTTGCCCAGGCTGCTCCCAATATTGGTCCTTTGGTACGTGGCATCACGTGTAGTACGGTCAATTAAGTCTGGCTAACACGTGGCTCTACAGATGTGGGATGAACTTAAGGGCTCAGACAACATCGTTCGTACTCTGCAATGGACTGCTCGAGTGGAGGGAAGCGATCAGTACACCACCTCTAAGCATGCCATGACTCTCAGCCAATATCTCGGCAGAGGTGTTGTTTCCAGAGGCCGGATGGCCATTTCATCGGGTCTGGACACCAATGTGGCCGAACACCCGTACCTCCACAACGATGTCGACAAGCAGACAGTCATCCAAGGCATCAAGAACCTCCAGGCGGCGCTGAATGTCATTCCCAACATTTCCTGGGTTTTGCCTCCCCCGGACACGACTGTCGAGTCATTTATCAACAATGTGAGTTTCCTTTTTCCTTTTCTGTCCGACACTGTCTGAGCCATACCTTTTACTGACAAATCGGTGCCTGTAGATAATCGTCTCACCCTCCAACCGCCGGTCAAACCATTGGATGGGAACTGCCAAGCTTGGCAAGGATGATGGCCGTGCTGGAGGCAGCGCTGTCGTGGATCTGAACACCAAGGTGTACGGTACCGATAACCTCTTTGTTGTTGACGCCTCCATCTTCCCTGGCATGACCACCGGCAACCCGTCGGCAATGATCGTGATTGCCTCAGAGCATGCTGCACAGAAAATCTTGGCCTTGAAGCCTGTACCATCTCTGCCTGGCGGCAATGGCAAGGGAAAATGGAGAAGATGAGCGGCGACAAACAAGATGAAGCAAATGTCGCTGTATTTGTAGGTAAGGTGTCGGTATCTGACAACGGGATGTATACTTAGCATATGTTACCTATTTTGAAGTTCAAAGTTTGGCTATCGAAGAAAGCAGGACTTTTATATTTTCTCACCCTTGATACTTTAGGTATTGCTTCAATAACCTTTACTGGGTTTGCGTCATTTGCGAGTGTCTATGGCGAGCTATCGTCGTGGTGGGCAGATGTTGGTGATGTTGAGAATGTGAATTGCGTTTATAAGGACCTTCCGGAAAGCGCCTAATCATCAAGGAATGATTGATAGCCGCTTGCCCGGCTAGCTCAATCGGTAGAGCGTGAGACTCTTAAAGGAGTTACTCCGTAATCTCAAGGTTGTGGGTTCGACCCCCACGTCGGGCTCAATTCCCGTCGTTCCAATTCTTTTTTGCTTCTTCTTTAGCCTAACTTTCGGAAGCTTCAGAATGCAGAAAAGACATAATCTCTTATGGTCCTCTTAAGACATTTATTTTTTAGTGTCTCCAAGGGAAGATTGGAGATTGTTTGCAAAGGAGCTTCAAATCTCAATGGGGGTTGCTGATGTGCCTGAATGCGTTGCAAGGTCCTCCCAGCACCCAATGATAGTGGGGCCTATGCGTGCACTAACACTCAATTCGTGACTTCTTGGAAGACAACGATTCCTCTTGTTCATAAACAGCGTTAATGAGATGAAGAAGCCTTGTCTGAAAGAAGGAAGTTAGTAAGTATCCTTCCTAAACTTTGACTTTTCGTCTGATTTTCAGCTTCCGAATGCGCAGAGTTGAAGTAATAATTTTGGGCTTAAATCCTCTATGTTACAGACAAAGTGGAGCGAGGTGATCGCCCACAGATGTTCCCTTCAGCTTCTCACCCGACCTACCGCCGTGAACCTCCATTTGGTTCCCTATTTGTTTGTGCCGCTTACCCGCCATCAAATGAGTTTCGATGATCATCACCACAGGCAGCAGCCAAGACTTAGCAGACAAAGCGTTATAAAGTTATCTGGAGGTGGCAGAATGTGGCTGTGTTGCAAGTCTGAGGAGGGCAATGAGGGGTCTCGGGACGGATTGCGCCTCTCAAAACGGGGCCGTACAGCCGGAGTAAGATGACATCGGCGGCCACAGGGGAGACCAATTGCTTGTCCGCAACATCACCTGCACTTTCAACGTATCATTTTCCGGGGAAATGGGAAAGGTACATAATTACTTGGGTTCCCGGACATCAAACTCACATCTTGATTTTTATGATTTACCGACTTCCCCTACATTTCCTCCACCATGCCCCAGGCCGTGACCGAAGCAAGTCCGGACCTGGCGATAGCGCTTGACGTCCCCAACCGGGAATTCAACCCGGGCGAGCCCATCACGGGCCGCGTCTACCGACACAGCCACGTCGTCTCTTCCGAAGCCCTCGTGAGCATCAAGCTCTACGGCCGCACCAAAGTGCGCGTCGACTACACCACCAACAGCGGCAACAGCAACCACCACCACACGGTGCGCTCGCGCTTCGAGCTGCTCGGCTCCGGTCCAGCCTTCTACAACACCATATTCCGAGGACCCATCCACATCCCACCAGACGGCAGCAAACCCGAATCCTGGCCCTTTTCCTTCTCCCTCCCCTTCGGCCCCGTCAACCCCCAAAGCATCTGCGAGGGAGCCCACAACAAACAGAAACATTCTTTTTTACCGATCGATCCACCCGACCAAATCACCTCCCACCCTTTACCTTTCACTTTTTACACCCAAATCGGCTCGCGCTACTACAACGGCATCGAGGCCTACGTCGAGTACGTCCTCGAGGCCGAGTTCTTTGAGCAGCACACTTCCCGCTTCAGCAGCTCTCCCTCGGCCAAGAAAACCGCCACGGCAGTCCTCCCCATAACGATCCGGCCACCGCCCATCCCGCCTCTGCATCCGGATGAGTGGCGTCTAGGTCGCTGGGTAAAGCGCGAGGGGGTGCGCACGCAGCGGTTGATACCCGAGTTTGCAGATAGCGAGGAGCTTTCCTTCAAGCAGAAAACGCTCAAACTGTTCCACTCGTCCAAAGTGCCCAAGTACTCGTTCGACGTGTTGGTGATCACCCCCGGGGTGATCCAGCTGGGGAGTGTGGATCCTGTGCCGTTCCGGGTAGCGGCTGTGCCGCGGCTGGGGCAAGCGGATGAGACGAGCGACGAGGTGAAGGAGTTGGAGAGGACTCCGACGGTTAGTGTGGTTAGTTTGCGGATGGTGGTCAAGGCGAGGACGGAGGTCAAGGTGGGTAACTCGAGGATCTGGGATCGGTATACGGATAAGACGGATAAGGTCGTTGAGTGGAGCTGGATGTGGAAAGAAGGGGAGGAGGGGATGGTGTTGCCGGTTTGGGATAGGAGGATGGGCTCGGGTGCGGGTGTGGGTGCTGGCTTGGAGGGTGAGGAGAAGAAAGAGAAAATAGCCTTGGGGGAAAAGGGGCAATTTATGGACGAAAAGGCAGTGTTGAAGGAGGGGATGAGTCCAGCTGCTGGTGGTGTTGGTGGTGGTGATGGGGGTGAGAGTAGCAGTGGTGGTGGTGGTCCTGTTTCTGGTCCAACAGGAGAACCACCGGCTCGAGATATCGGAGCTGAGTTGGGGTTGAGGTTCAACCCGACGGAACTGGCGTATAATGGTGGGCCAGCGAAGCTGAGAGCACTCCTATACCCGGAATTCATGACCTATAATATTCGGCGGACGCATGAGCTGAAGTGGGAGATGGTTCTAGCGGTGGCGAAGGAGACTGTCAAGGTGTCGAATGAGCAAGTAGTTAGGTTTGTGGCGCCTTGGACTTGATCTACCTAACTACCTGCAGGTAGTTATGGATTGGTCTGACGCACAATGGCTCGATGAGACTAGCTCGTCCGAGACAAAATAGATGAGACCAACCGATAGGTTAGGTAAAGCAGTCCGCTACCGCTCGTTAAGAGAAAAGAAAGAAAGAAAAAGGCTGTTGCAAGACTCTGAAAGAGATTATAATAATTCGAAAAGACATCGGCTAGCGTCCCATTTGGATATTTTTATTTAGGAATTGCCTAGAACTCATGATCAGAGGTGTAACAAAGAAGCTTGGATGCGTAGTAGGAGTCTACACAAGGTATAATGTTAAAGGTCTCAACTGTTTTGTCCAGGACAAGACTAGATATCAAATATGATCGATTGACAGTACATGAAAAGCCGGTTAGCCTCCCACCAAACATATCTATCCAACCATCATTCCCAAACTTCCCTTTACGTTAACTCCAAACCACTGTATTTCCGATCCACCATCCATCTTCCCTCGCAGCCCTATCATTTGTGGCAGCTTCAATTTGTAGGTCCAGCGGCAGTTAGTCTTGCATGCTTTGCGTCGCAACCGTCCTTGTTCTTTAGTTTGTACACGCATAATATGGCGTCGAACTCCTCGTACGCAGTTTGCACCGTGGTACTGAGCGACAGATTGGTTTGCATATCGTTACTGTGCGCTCTCGAACGCTCGAGACAATGCCCTCTGATAAAAGATTTGTCTTCAGCGAGCAATTCTTGCAAGGTCTTCATTCCCCGATGGAGAATAGACCCATTTCCAGGCTTGTTGTAGGTAATAATGAACCGCTCTAAGCGCTCGATCAATGACCTAGTCTTCTTACACTGACAGCAACGATAGGGGCTGTTCGTCATAAGACACTCTTGAACTGTCCGGAATAGACCTAGCTGGATGATAAGAACCTTTTCTCCGAGCATGACTATCACGGTGAAAATGTCAATGAGCCATATTGGAAACGAGGGTGAATGATATGTAGAGGCATGGAGAGAAAGGTCAAAGATTATTAAGAGGTAAGAGAGATCCACGTACCAAAAAACTTTGAAGGTAATATGCTGCTGATCAGCTCATCATTCATGAGCTCAAAAAAAGACAACCTATGGTAACACATCATGTCCAATGCAAATCGGCTAAAATAGTCGCACCGGTCGAGTGCGTAAGCCGAGGCGCATAGATAGACAATGTCCTCCCCCGCCATCGCCGTCTGACTCCCGTCCTCATTCTTGGCCACTGGGCACGTCTTACTCGCCTCCCTGAATAAAAAGTCCAAGACGAACTTGAGTGCGGTACGCAGGTCGTACTTGTCCGCTGCAATAGCAATCTGCAAGATCTCCTGGGGCGTGCGCGGTTTGGTCACGAGCTCGTGCTCGTTGTGGTACGAAAGGGTGAGGGTGATGAAACGCATCGCATCTGAGTCGTCTTCAGGGAGGGGGATCTCCTTGCTTTTGCTTTCCAGCCAGGGTGGGGAGAACATCGAGGCGAAGACGGGCGAGGCGGCTTTGAGGATGGCTGACTCGACGGGGATGCGCTCCGTGCCCGGTCCGACGACTAAAACGAGGTCGGTGACGGGGGCCGTCTCGATAATGGCCGGTTCGCTGTCCATTGTGCTCGTGGGGTGGGATTGACGAGCTTAGTGCGGAGTGGGCGAGTGATGATGAATTGCTTGAAGAGCCCTGGAATGGATGTGGTAAGAAGAGAAATAAGTATAATGTTGAGTTGTAACCTCCACTCTCCTACTTATACAAGAGCGCTCTGTGGGCTGGCTATATGCAGCCAATGTGGTTGCTTACAAGTGGGTCCGTTGGAGTGAGAGGGTGGTTGATTGAAAAAAGAGGAAGACTAAAACAACAAAAGCCCAGAAAGACAACTAAATACCCCACCAATACCTTGAACACCATCGTTCCTTTCACATGCTAACGTAGTCATCTGCTCTTCATTGTCAGGCAGCGCCTGCCATCCGGATATACGGTTATAGCAGGTGCATTGCTGCACGTAACGGTATAGCGATAATGGCCTCATCCTGCCGTTACAAACTAGAATCCATGTGCCCCAATGCTCCTTCTACATTCCTCAGTTTCTTCCTGTTTACCACTTCAATACAATCCACATTACCGATCCCTTGGCTAATTGGCACCTTCTTTTGACTGGTATTAATGCTCTTTTGTTTTGTAATTCTCTTTGTTGTTCTTCCCTAACGCACAATTTCGCAGGCCTGGCAGCCAAGCCCGTGACTCCGCGAAAGACTACGGTGAGGACAACCAAGCACTGCCTTGCCCAAAAGTCCTTGGACTATCTCTCCCGCCTCAACGATCATCATGCCCTCCATTACAGGATGGTACGAGTCTTACTAACTTGATGCAAAAGACGGCGCGCTCCTTCAAGACCTCTATCTGGCGCTCGAGCGAGACGAAGTCGGCGGGCGAGGCGTCGTCGTGAGAAACGTCATCGCCTTCGCAGCAATGTTTTAAGTAGAGCCTTTCGTCATTTGCTAGGTCATCCAGATCATACAGGAGGGACGTCAGAGGTTTGTAAAACCCATTGTCGACATCATGAAAATTATCAACAAAGTCCTGAAAGTGCCTACAAGCAATCCTTTTGGGGCACCGGGTCTTGTTCCTGCGATGCCTTTTAAGAGCTAAGATCCGCGTTCCGGCATATTGCAGACGTGTATGCTTATACCAGCTTGAGAGCGTTTGGTTTACTGCATGTGAATGGAATACTGACCTCATGATGCCATCAGGCTGCGTGCAGTCATGCATCTCCCTCAGATCCCCGCCCTTCCGCCCTTCTTGCTCGACTACCTCCAAATTTGGGCAGTTACTTGCTCTTGTTAAACCTTTTCTTTTTTCCAACTTTTAACTTTGCGTTATCTTGTCTTAGTCGCTTCATTCACTACGCCAGCCACCTGCTACAGGCCCACTACTCTGATTGATCAACCTGCGACACTGGACGACAAGGCGAACCACACCATGGAGGACCATAGGGAGAGTAGCGACATGAAAGGCGACCCCAACAGAGAGATTTCAGCCACTGGGGATATCATTCTCGTCGTCGGGGCTTCTGATTCCGACGATCCACAGCTCCGTCTTAGAGTTCAGTCGACCATCCTTCGAGAGGCGTCTACGGTCTTCAGGACCATGCTTTCCCCTCCATGGATCGAAAGTCAGGATATTTCGGCCAAAAACCCGAAGGAGATTCAACTTCCCGAAGATGAACCTAAAGCCATGGAGGTCGTTTGTCTAGCATTACATTTCCGCAGCAACCTCATCAACCCTCACTGGCTCGAGGAACAGGGTGGACAAAGAATGCTCGATGTTGCCATTCTGATCGACAAGTACGACTTGAAGGCATCGATGAGGCTTATTACCGACACGTGGTTTCGGCAGTCCATGGGGTGTATCATGGAGGAGTCCATATACCGTATGGCCGCAGCCTGGATTCTCGAAGAGGAGGAATTCTTTGCGCAATATAGCTGGATAGTCATGATCACCTATACCGGGCCGTACGCCAAACTTCTTTCCCAGGGGCTCCTCAGGGAAAAATTACCTCCACAAATATTCCGTAAGTATTTCTCCTCAGAACCTACCCTTCCGGGGAAGATTGCAAAAGTTTGGTATTATGTTCTAATTGTGAGCGGCCTGCAGTCCTGCTGGCAGAGCGATCGTCCAATCTCCGAATACGTTTTCTCGATTCAGTATGCCGTGAAGCTGCTTTGGATGGAGATGGTGATGCTCGCGATAACTGCACATGCGAATTGAGGGAGTCTCTTCAGCGTCGCTTTCGACAAACTTGGCAGCGTCTCACACAGCATCTTACAAGTCAAAAACCCATATGTTCGGTCCTGTCGATCATAGACGACTTGATGCCGCTTGCCGAAGAACAGAAGATTTTCCCGAAGTCCTGGTGTACAGAGGTCAAACAGATGCACAACGACAAGGTTATGGACACGCGCCTCGGCAGATATTTCGATTGGAGTGGCTCTACCATCTGCTCCAGGCTCCCGGAGTGGATGGAGAGAGAGACAAGCCTTTGCCTTCGGTGTCTCCGAGAGGATGAATCACGTGCAGACTACACCTACTGTAGGAACAATCTGCTTTGCGAGCACTCCAAAACAAGACAGCTGGGATCTACCGGTTCCGCGATGAACCTGTTGGGCAAACGAAATACACAGGACGATGACAGAGATGGAAGAGCCCTTGCATGATTTTATGTTCCCTTGCTAGGTATGATAGTTGTGTAGGGGTCAATAGTAATGTCTTGTTTATGGCAGATCCATGGTAACTAGGTAGATCCAATCTCGCATGCTCTTCGTTGACCTTGCTATCAATCCTCTCATCTTTTCCACTCAATCAATGACGCTTTGTTCGTGATGACAATTCCCCGAAGCTCCAGGATAGAGGTAAATGTCTACGAGCTAACTCTTTCCAATATTCGAGAACATTGCCACTCCAATTCATCATCCCTCACTCTTGAGACCGACCATCGATATTTGCCTCGCCTCTGATATCTTGTATCCGGCCCAATGGGCTGCCGATGCCGGCATGCCGCAAGGGACCAACAGCCACATGTAAAGCCCAGCCCGTACTACCCACGACCATCATACTTCCACGTCGCAGTTGAGAACAGTACATCCATGCCCAATTCCCCAACTTAATGACCGGCCACCCTCGCAATTCCATACCTCTTGAATAACCGTCGCTCAAACTCGTTCTCCACCCAGCTAGCACGCCCAATTTGAATCAGCAACGAGTCTACCACCAATACCGGGATCACAGCACCACAACCTGGACAGATTACAATGACGAACCACGTCTTATCTACTTATTCTTCCTTGAATTACTGACCTCTTTAAGATCCATACCTATTTAAATGCATTAACCCCCATCACGGCATGTGATACAGGTATGGTGACGATGTCCATCCACCGGCCACCCGTTGAATCGATTTTTGGTCTCGAATATGGAGGGACGAATGCACACCATGAGGCATACACAATCAATTGTGCTACCCCGTCCGCTAAGACGTATCATCAATGCCTCCAGCTGATGTAATTACCTGGGCGCCTGGCGCAGGATATCACCTGTCACAGTGTGAAGGGATTACGACATGCGCTCACTTCCGCCAATTCCGGGGTTCGTTCCTGAGCAAAGTAGAAAAAAGCTTAAACCATCCTCCCCCGCCTCCGATCTTTTGTCCTTGTCACACCCTTGTTCTGTGGTTACCATTTGTCTCCCCGGGAACAAATAGGCTGCAGCCGGATACATTCCGCAACTACCGACAGAGTGAGGGATATATCACGCGGCGAACAACGAAAACACACCCTCAAGTTTGGAGTGCTGATAGAACATCTAGCAAGCGACGCAGGGTCTGCGCCGGGCTGCGTTGCTGGCTTCTGGATGAGGATTGCTCTGTTGATAACAGTCGTGTACACTGTAGTATGTGCGAAACTATCATCGAATCGTAGTCGGGTTAGGCAACAATCCCGTCTATCGACATCTATTACAGCATCGACCAGTAGACATGTGGCACAGCATGTGTAGGTTCAGTAACTTTGCAGAAAGAACTTAAGAAGTGTGTCTCCTTGTGAATTGGGGGCTATTTAACAGTGTACGGAATGCGTGCTGTAGGGGGTCGATCTATTATATTGCTTTGCTTCTCGACTATGAAGACCAACGATTTCTGAAATAAAGACTGCAGTGACAGTCAAAAAATATTGTCACCCCTTACCCTATTAGACGTGTGGGGGAGGGTGACAGTATTTTTTGATCATGAGTTTATCTCTCACAAAGTCCCCACCAATCCGAGCTTCAAGGTACACTCATAAGCTTTTCAGGCTCCTTAAAATGGCCAGTAAAACCTCCTGTATTCAGGGGCATTGTCATCATCCTTGACGGTAGCGTGAAGCATTACAGTGTATTGTTTCCTGGGCGTGGTTTGACCTAGAGTGAAGTCGAACTTAGCAGGGGGATAGGTGGCAGTTGCTTCAATACTGATGGTCACTCTTTGTGGCTTCTCTGCGGTTCGATATCTGATCACCTTTTGGCGACCGTACTCCGGCCCTTTATTGAGAAGGTGGGATGATTGTTGGCCATGGCCTGGAAAGAGGACATGGCGAGGTATGTGATTCTGCTGAGTCAAGTTGCCAATTTCTGGCAGGTCATCCTCGCCTAGAACAAATGCTTTTGGAATTCCGCGTAGGTCTGTCAATCTGTTTGGGAAATCGATGATCACGAATAATCGCAATTTCCGCATCCCGACCTCATACCTCGAGTGACTAAGGCTCACCAGGGCGCACGCAATGTCATAGGATTGTTGCGCGTAACGATCAACTTCTGGCGGGAAGAACAACGACTTGGAGGCATCCCAGTGTGTATCAGGAAGTGCATGCATAACGCGAAGCCGTAGGTCCAACGAAGCCCTTAAGGATACTGTTCCCTCAAACATAGGCCGTGAGTCCAAGAGAGTCCTGTGGTCCATAAGAATAGTGTTCGTGATGCTGGATTCTGCAAGGTATCGTAATCTGTTCATAATCCTTACACCAACCCGAACGTAGAGTCCTGGACCGACTTTTTCGAGTAAAACAGCAAAGGTTTGCCCCCGTATGCCGTTCGCTCTGCCGATAAATAGGGTGTAGAAAGCTGGTGTCGGTTCTCGTCTGTCTGCTGGCTCTGAGTCCTCGAACACTCCAATGGTCGAGCGAATGTTCAATCCCCTGTTTGTCAGAGTGAACTCCGGGATGGTCAGAATTCCCGCTACTGCCCCATAATCCTTGATTTCCTTTACTATCTTCGTCTGTACCATGCGCTTCCGTGTTGCCCCAAAGTCTGCTGGTGATCGGGCAAGAAGTCCCAAATACCGACGCTCCGTTACGCTTTCCTCCTTGGTAGATTCAAAGTTGAGAGGTGTGCCCCAGGCGAAGATTGATAGATCGTTACTACGCTTGATGATCTCCTCTTGGAGTCTGCGGAAGGCATTGTCACCTTCTCCGTATATGAGGGGCATGTTCACCTCGAATATGCCGAGCAGACAGTAAGCTTTATCTTCAGGGCGGGTCGTTTCGCGAGACGAAGCCCAGAGCATCCGCTCGGCAATTGCAAAGTCACCCACTGGCCAAGAACCAGAAAGAATGGTATCTGAAATACCCGTGGTGCGGACGATAGTGCCGAGAATACCCTTGTCCCTTTTCCCCCCAATCACGTTCCAGTCTCTGTCAAAGAATATCACAGTCCTGGGCGCAATGAGTTCCTGCAAAGTGAACCCTCGTGTGAACCAGCGGCATTTCTCAAGTTCATATTGCGGCAGCGATCCGGGGGCGAAATCGACAAGATAGGCGTAGCATTCATAGGCATTTTGGTACCAGCGGTACATGGAGTTGATGCTCTCAGTGAGTTCGGCGCTGCTTGACTTGTCGATGCAACAGGTGTCAACCCAGGCCCATTGCTGACCCCTCGAATGTGCCATTTTGCAGGTATCCTGGATCTTCTTGTATCCAGCCTTTACCATGGTCGACGGAGACTTGGAAAGCATCTCCTGAAAGGTGATTTCGTCTTTGTCCCATGTGTGTGAGAGTATCGCGTAAGAGGGAGCTTGCGATTCGAAGAACTCGTGGAGCTCGAGCGTCTCGGTGTTGATCAGTTTCATTGTGGTTCTCGTGTGCTTAGATTTGCGTACAATGCTGGCTTCGGCTTTTGTCGTGCATCTGAGTTTGCAGTTTCCGTCGTTGACTTGAGGAAGTAGACAATCGTGATCCGAACAACGGCGCAGCGAGCAGTATTCGATCGTCGAGCAGAGAGGAACGCAGGACAGGCTGGGGGCGGGGTTCGCTTCCTATGAATGGTTTGGTAAGTCAGCCACCGTCTCCTCTCCAATGTCGTATCGCACTATCGGACCTGGTAAGTTCGCGGGGGTAGGGCGTAGTGCTTCGGGTCGGTTACCTCTGTGATTGGGCGTTCGCCGGCCCATCCAAACATTTCGTTGGGTTGGTGATGGTCTGGGGCTGGACTTGCATCGTCGGCTGGTGGTGGCTGACAGCCATTTGCAAGTGCCTTCGGGACAATTGACATGTTGATTGATCAGATTGCCCAGCATCGTTTGGCTTGGTTGATTTGATGGCTTAGATGCTTGTCTATCCTGACGGCTGCAAGCTTGGCGGGCAACAAGATAGTGCGATAACTGCCTTGGCTGTTCGACTGTAGGGATCATTATCGCGCCGACAAGCGGAATGTCTTGCTGGATTTTCCATTGTATAAGTATTCTGTGGTTAAGCGGACGAAGTGAATGATTGTATGATGACAACGAGTGTTGTTCAGGAAAGAAAAGGAAGAAGGGGAGGAGTAGCCCACGGCAGAAAAGAGCAGTCAGGGGCAGGCGAACAGAGGCCTACGGTTATCTCAGCGCTCAGACCACATGCCCACCCGCCCTACCGCCTTCTTTCGGGTGTCACTTCAGTTGTCACCCACCTGACCCTCTTCATCCTTACAAATGCCCCTGGACCCAACTTCACCCTCGATTTTGAGTAAAGTCGACAGGCTACCGGGACTGGGAGACACATCATTGCAGCATAGAGCCATTCGCTTGTTCACGACATATTCTTACTTCACTGATACCATCATCGAACACTCGAGACCTTACGTCTTGTCGAGAAATGCGCAACCATCAGCGGGATGGCAGTCCGGGATGTATCTGCGGCTTCATTCCTGACGGAGGATTGAGAACCCAACAACACCATCGCAAACGGATTCTCTGGCCACTGCTCCTCAGGATCTCAAGACTTATCATAGAACGAGCCATGATTTGTTCAATCGACAACCGCAAGGACAGTCCCGTTTGGAAATCAAAGTTATGATGTCGTGTCAGCCTTTATTGGTCAGTGGCCTCCAGTCACTTCTTGTGTTCTACCATACGATGTTACTTGTTCCCAAAGAGATATATATCCTTGGATAACCCATCCTGCTCGAACTCCCGACACAGGGCACTGCCATCTTCCACTGTGAACACACCAACAACGTACTCGATAACCTTGACAACTCCCGGCCACCTACTTCCCGCGTTTCAGTCTCTTCATTAAGAACCGAGACAATGTCTTCCACAACCACCAACACCAGTCTTTACGGAGGGTCCTCAACGTCTTCTACCAACTCCTCTACTTATACCAGCGCTAGTGGCTCGACAACATCCAACAGCACTAGCACAACGTCCTCGGGTACGACATCCACAGGGGCAGATAGTTCCGGGACGAGCACGACAAGCAGTAGCTCCACTTCTTACAACACTCCCACGGACAAGTCGGGGGTTTCTAACCCTTATTCCTATTCGGGATGGTTCTCTTAGGTTAATGGATTGGTGGTTCGTGAATGATGTTCAGGCTGGGAGGGTGGTAGACTAGTAAGACACAATCATGTGGTGGAAGAAGATGGGAAGATGAAGCGGGAAAGATGATGATAAGAGTATGGATCTGTGGAGGGACTTTGGGCAAGGGAAAGGTAGGGGGGGCGTGCGTCGAATGGCTACACATAGGTAGATATAGTTCATCTCATGATGTCAAGTTGACCGAACATATAAGAGCCTCAACCCCTTGTGTGCCACAGTCTTTCCTAGTGTTGAGCGATGACATTGGTTGCTACGTCTATTTCAACAAGATAATCCCACACAGTAGAGCCACATGCTGTGAGATCGGTAGTCCCGTTACATGTGCAACCTTATGCCATGTGATTGGGGCTCATTGCATCTTGCACAAAGGCGATAGACTTATCGTTGAAACGCCTGGATAAGTTGACCAGAGGTTTTGAGCCAACAAACAAGTCAGGCAAGGAAGGCAGCGGTCATCACGAGGAGGAGCCCAGCAGCATAGGGAAGGAAGTATGCTGTGAAAGGAAGGAAGACACTTACATCAGCCGAGACCATGACTACGTAGATAAATGGAAGGTCCGTTGAGCACCAAGGGTCTCAAGTATCTAAATCCAGACCTCAAACCTAGTGACTTTACTTTTCTCTTTACATCACAGCACACAATGCGTCTTGGTCGACTGATTTTAGCCTCATTTTGGAAACACTCAACAGTATCATTGGATCACAGCCTGTCTTCTTCCAAGTTATTCTATCATCAATTTCAACCTCAATCATACCACCCGACCCAACATGGATGAGAATGAACAATCTCGCAAGGACACCTTCCAAGCCCTCGCGGACGCCCTCCGTGTCGGAGACCTCCTCACCATCCTTCGACTCTGCGACTCATCCGAGCCTCCCATCTCTTTCACCACAACGTCCATCTCTCCCCACTTGCCGATAGGACGCTCTCCCGCTGAGCCAGTCCATTGCCGCCCCCTCGGCGTAGCCTCCATGTTCTCGCACCCCGAAGTTGTCTCCCAATTGCTCTCCATTCCTGAAGTTCTCCCCCACATTGACGACCCTGTCTTCAACCTCTGCAAATGCCCCTTCCAACCCGTCGACCCCCATGCCCTGGCTGATTACGGCGTGTCGGATGATACAGGGCACTGGACCGCTTTGCACTTGGCCATTTGCCAGGGAAAAGACAACGTGCACAACTACGGCCCACGCATCACACCGCCAGACCGCGAGCCCTCGCTACAAATCGTGAAGGATTTGATAAAGGCAGGAGCGTCCCTCACCGTCTCAGCGGACCCATCCCAGCAGGCAAAGATCACGATCCTCCATACCGCAGCACTGAAAGGCCGAGACGATGTCCTCTCTTACGTCCTCTCCCCCGATTTCCCACGCATAGAGGAAGTAGACATCAACGCCCGCGACCACGAAGGCCGCACACCGCTCCACTATGCCGCCCTCCGCTACTCCTCCTCCTCCTTCCTCGACGACGACAAGGGGGACGACGACGAGGAGGACGATCTCCCCTGTATCAAACTCCTCTTATCAGCTGGCGCGAATCTCGAAATCCGCGCCGACCACTCCCAAACTCCCTTCACCACGGCCCTCAACTTCGGCTGCCTTTCCGCTGCAAAGCACCTCCTCCTCAAGTGGGGAGCCAAACACCAATTCCGCTTTTTGTGCCTGCACACCAACAGGCTTTGCTACCCCTTGCAAGTGCTCGCGTACTCGTACGAGACTTTCTTCCCCAATTCCACACCTGCGCCGTTCCCGGGACAGCTGGGACCCGTGACCCGACCCACCTGGGAAGCGCAGCGCGTCGACTTGTTAGACACCATCATGGGCCTTTCACCACCCGATCGTGCCTCTACTCTCATTGACTGCGGCTGTGTCGAATCCATCAACATCGACGACGAGGGCGAAATCCAAGTCCTGCACCCGTTAACCATCGCCGCAGGCGACGGTAGTAATCCCGCTACTGCTGTCTCCTTCTTTCTCAATCACGGCGCGGACCCGAACGCCCTCTCAGGGTACACCCACGGGCGATGGATAACAGCAATGCACGAAGCCATCCTTTCCATACCGCGTTGGCCAACGCTAATGTTACTAAAGTTTCATCCGGACTACGACGCCGAGTCGGGCCGGATCTACGCCATTGGACCAGACGCGAGCGTGGTCGGGGAAGCCAATGTGCCCCCACCGCGAATCGACACGCCCACGCAACTGCATCAATGGACAGCCATTTTGAAATGTGTCGTGTTGGCCATGGCGGGCGCGAGAATCCGCACTCCAAACTCGGATGGACACACGGTGTTGGACCTGGCGATTCTTCGCTCGGAATTGCACGAAAGTGTCAATCCATTTGACCATGATCTGCGCTTGCAATATCGATACTGCACGTACAAATTCGTTGGCGCGTTATTGTTTAGTTTGATACGGCCCTACAAGAAGGATCCATCGCCACAGCCGCTGCTGGATGCGGAGGACATGAGGTATTTGGCTGAGAAGCTGAGGGAGGTGATTGTGAGGAATCCCGTGTTGGCGTACGAGATGGTGGCTGCCGGGGTGGATCTTGCGGTGCTGAAGGAGCAGAGGCACGAGGTATGGAATGAGGCGATGACGGCGAGAATGAACCGGACTTTGACTCAGGGGCGTGTTGATCCATTTTACGCAATGGATTTTGTAGACTTGCTTGTGAACGAAGCGAACGAGGACTTGGAGCTTGCTGTGATTATAGCCCATATGAAATCTATGTTGTTGTAGAAGTTGATTGTGTGGCTGTGGAGCGTCGGAGGGGAAATTAGGTTGGAAAGGAAAACGAAGTCTGCATAGTACGTTTATAGTATTGGGTTCAGCATAGTTTTGCATAGAGTGGTGAAGAGCAAGTGAAGTTGAATTCAGCATGAATACCTTCCGTATTTTCACTCGTTGTCAATGTCTGCCACCTTGGTCATCCTGCTGACTGACTGGGCTACCTGGCCATGTTGAGCCCCATGTGATTCTATGCCTCCCTGTGACTCAAATTTGGTAATGTTTCATGGTATCCGAGTACGTTGATAAGCCCAACTTGCATTGTTACCTATCTGGAATTGCCACCCAACCTGTCACTGACCACCACCCAAAAACGTGCTTCGACATTACAAGGACAACCAAACCAAGATGACCATCGCCAATATCCTCAGTAGGATACAAAGTACATGCTTAAACCACAGCAGGGCCCCGCCCAGAGAGCGACATCGAAGTGAGAACAAGACAAGTTTTCTCAAAGAGGAACCGAGATCTTTCTGATTTGAGAGTAGTGTTAAGCGCAAGGGTGGTGTTAAATGGGATGTCGTCAATCGACATGGTGCTGCCGGGTCGACATTACTGGGAGTTGGTGTTCGTCGTATCAGAAGGCGGAGTCGTGTACTTGATTGCCGGACCAGAAAAGATGCCGTTCCACGCAATGGCGTCAGTCGTAGGCTCATTCACATCTGACGAGTCATCCAATCCACGAAGTTCCAGCGTCAGGACGGTTCCTGGGATCGGGCATGCAGTATTGGGCCCCACCAGATACGCATTGCCTGTAGGATCAACAACTACGGCAAGATCAGCGAGTTTGGCTTGGTAGGTAGCAATCACAGCCTGGTCGGTCTCCGGGATGGTCGGGGGGTCCTCCGTAGGGCATGATGTGGTCGGGGTTTCGTTCTGCAGCAGAGTGAATCTGCCCGAGCCGTTGATTGTGCTGGTGTTGCCGAGGAAAAAGATGAACTGGCAGTTCTTGTCGAGGACGTCGAGCGGGAAGGTGAATGTGACTTGGGTTCTGGTGTCGGTTACAATTTCTGGAACGGTAGGGTCGGTAAGATACTCGATGCGCCGGCCCAGTGCAGAGCAATCGGCCTGGCGGTTGAGCTGGTTGAATTGAATGGTTGTGGTGGGCAGGAGGTAACCGACGGTGTTGACCGGGTAGCCAGGGATCGGCCGGGGAATGGTGAGCGGAGGAGGGTAGTAGGCATAGGGGTAATAGTAGTTGTAAGGATAGTCTCCGGTGATGGCATTGAGCTCCCCAAGGATGTACTCGAGGGGCATGATGCTGGTATCGCCAATATCGATGCCACCCCACGGGCGGTTGCCGCCGCCGAGAGCTTCAAGCTCAGGCCAGCTGACAGATTCGGTATCGAGCCACTGGGCCTGGACGGAGGCGAGAGCACCCCCGAGAGTGAGAGCTGCGCTGTACTTCATGGCGATATGTGGGCGTAGAGGCGATTGTTGAAAGAGACAGTAGTTGGGTTTGAGCACTGGTAGAATCAACCACTTCAAGCAGGACCCGCGAAGCTCAAAAAAAGACGGGGAAATCGATGAAGTCTGTCCACCTATACTTATACTCATATCCCGGAGTGTAATCGGCGATACAACTCTTGAGCAACAAGAACCATGACAAGACTCGCGTTCCAGCCGGACGTGTAGGTACATCCATCTCACCGTGATGCCCATTGTTGTTCAATGTGCCCATGCCTGGGTAGAGGTTGGGTTGATTCCAAGACATCGAGTTGCTGTTACTCAGGGACAGATGCATTCCAGTTCCATTATCTGTTTCCGGGCATTCTTCGCTGTGGCGAATGTTCAGAATGTACATCAGGAGACATTCCAGTACTGTCAGAATGCTGTCCATTCCATTCCCGGGGAGGGCCATGCTCCGAATGGCATGCTTTAGCTGTGCGGACTGCTGTAGTGTCATTCTCGACACATATCTGGCTCATACCCCAGGCTGCGTCTTGTTCCATTCCTCAAAGAACTGATGGGCGTAGTCAGGCATGCACTTGACTTTTTCGGGCGGGCTCGCCTGCCACTGAATGGCATCGTCCCTGTGACCCTCTGCGCCAACCAAATGGCTCGTGAAGCCCTTAGCCTCCTTAATCTTCTTTCCCTTCTCGTCCGAGTACTCGAGGTTGACAGTCGGTACAACAGCGATCTTGCCATATCCATGCCACCAGAAGTCCTTGCAAAGAAGCTGGGGCTCGCCTTGCATACACTCGCCCTTTCTCGGAGCTCGGAAGGTCACCTTCTTCTCCAGAAAGGGCTTCGCGGTAAAAGCGGTGGCTCCGTTCCAGCATGAGAAGACCTGGAAGGGCTGGTGGGCAAGATAGCGTTCACGCGCAGTAGGTTCGTTCCAGAAGATGTTCCAGGCAGAATTCCAGTTACCATCAGCCGGAATGTCGAAGAAGGAGTCCCCTCCAGCCAGTGTCCGGGCAATCCATACGTCGTAGAAGGTCGGATCTTGGCCGGCATAGGTCCAGTCCATGGCGCAAGTCATGTCGGCACCAAGGAAGCGGCGCTGGTGTACCAGCTCGAGGATATCGTCGGTGCAAGCGGCAACGTCATTGAGGAAGATGACAGTCGTGTTCGCTTCGGCAGGGTAAAGCTTTGAGTTGTTGGGGTCGAGCATGGGCTGCAGCGCCAAATTGCGGAGTTCGGCAAGCTTCGTAATGCGGTCTCCTTGCTTGGGGTTGATGTCGCTCGACTTGAAGTAGTATGTTGTGGTGAGTGCATCAAGCTCCGGGCGCAATGCCGCCAGAACCTCGGCTGTGCCGTCGTGAGAGTTGCCTTCGATGATGGAGAGCGCGCAGCTTTGAGGGCCGAGGAAGCGGATGGCTTCGACGATGCTTCCGATGAGGCGAGGCAACAGATGCAAGCACTCGCGGAGATCGAGAGCAAAGAAGTACTGGATTCCCGATACATCGGCCTCACCCTCATCGTCCTGCACGGCGAGGTATTCGTATCGCGAAGGATTGAAGGTAGGGCATTCGAGTCGTGGAAGGTTCTTCTCATCGGGGTTCATGATCGCGGCTACATAGGCAGTGCGGTTGGCGGCCGAGAGAACGGTGGGTATTGGAACTAATACACATGGGTGTTAGATCAGGAACAGACGGCACAATATCATGGCGAATGCGTGGGAGCTCACCATTGTCGGCGGGCGTGGTTGCGGTTGGATTGGCGACAGTCGTTGTGGCATTTGTGGTTGTGGTAGGAGAGGCAATAGCGGACACAGAAGCCTGTGTCCCATTGACGTGAATCCAATGGTTGGGCTTCAAGAAAGATGGCGAGATTTGGGAAAGCTGGTCGTGGCCGAGATAGAGACTGAGGACGATAAGCAGCAGGAATGCGGCCTGCAAGGCGAAGAACACCTCCCGACGCATGGTGGCTGCTGCCTAAGGTACTGTAGCGTCTGTACGTACGATGCGGGGAGGAATGAATGTGGAGGAAGGAGCGGACTACGAGCAAGCGGGGAAGCACAACTCCAAAAATGAAGGCATCACCAGAAAATGTAAACGCAAAACAAAACAAAGCAAAGCAAAGCGAACAACAAACAGCACTTTGACGTCGGGACAAGATTGCATCGAGGTTGCGGGATTGCGCTACGACTTTGGAAACGCGCCATCGCCAGCAGGAGGAGTCAGGTCCCGCACGTTAGGCAGCGCTGATCCCCTAATCAGGGTTGACGGCCCCGCTGCCAAAAACAGCAAAGTTCGCCGCTGTTGCTTGCCTCGCGCTGAGTTCTACCATTCGTCAACAGCGCTCTTTAGCGGATCATCAGCCGCGGTAGCCGGTGACATCCAGTCGTTAACCGCCCTTGGCGGTACCGTCCAAACGGTAGCAACCGTGATTTGGCAAAACACCATCATCAAGGGGCCTCAGATGCAGGTGCTGGGTTTTTGGGCCTTGGAGGGCCAGAAATAACCATGCGGGGGGATTTCTGGCGATGCCCCAATCACTGGGTCACCAAAGCGATGACAGCGGTGGAGAAGCGCGACAAGTGTTGGCAATTATCGACCACGCTTGACCAGCCCGAGCTTGGTGGCTGACTTCTGAGCCAGTGCCGTCTTCGATTTTGTTTTTTGCGGACCAGGCACGGCGGCAAAGTATCCAGGCGGACGGGTGAAAATCGCCGACCGTGACATAGCGTCGAGCAATGGCGTCCTGGTGCTGCTCGGGACAGTATTTCCGGTCGTTAGGCTTGCGCTGGGCTGAATGTGTTAAGAAGTCCACATGGCAAACAGCCCTGATATTGACGCTCGTGGTGGCCAACCACCGAGTTTACTATCGTCTGTCTCCCATCCTGACGGGATATGACTCTCTCTGCTCTTCTTTTTCCCTTTCGGTCTTTCTTTCTGTCACTTCGTCTCTCTCTTAGCCTTCTTGTCCAATCTCTTCCCAGTGTGGCGTCTGCCTGATCCTGCAGACTGCCCTTCTGCTGCTAATCTTTCTTCCTTTCGTTGTCTTAATTCATGCCTCCATAATACCCAAAGCCCAATGTTGACGTTCTTCTTTTCCTTGCTGCTCCTATCGAGCATAGGACATTCTTTCGCTGCGAATGTAACGGCTCACTTGGAAGCTCGGTCAAGGAATGCAACCACCACATTAATACAACAAAAACGCCAAAATGGTGTCATCGTTACCAGACTTTCCACAGTCTTCCTCAGTGGTGAGGTCTCAAAGACTCGAACAGCGAACCCTGGCTATGACTGCCGGATCGACCTCGGCGCAAGGCTCTGGGGCTTCTGCCCAACAGCGGTCATAGCAGCATCAGACTGCGGTCTGGCTGGCAGTTGCGTGGACAACCATGCGTGCTCCAAGGGGTGCGGCTACACTAATCAAGACTTTACCACATTTACCTGGTATGTTTAATTGGGAAACATTCTATCACATTTCTATAGCATAGACTGACAGAGATCATCATCACAACAACAGCAAGGACCCCGGAAACGATTACTGCTCAACCGCCCTTTTGATGTTGTCCAACCGGGACCTCGGGGCTTTTACCTACATCGCTTGCGGCAAAGCCCCCATTACCGATGCTTACATGGCCTATGCGACCGACGCAATCATTACCTATGTACCCACCAACACCCAAGGTATCAGCACTTCCACAACAGGAGCCCCTACATCCACTTCCAGTCTCGCCTCGCAGACTGCCGCCGCCATAGCATCTTCATCTTCATTGACAAGCACAGCCCCATCTGCTTCCGGACCAGCAGAACCAAACGGCGGCTCAGACAGCAATAACAACCTCGGCGCCATTGTCGGCGGAGTGGTAGGCTCGCTCGCAGTCCTCTGCGGCTCCGTCGTTGCAATCGTTTGGCTACTGAGGAGGAACCGCAAGGAGAAAGCCCTTGCTATGTCATCTCCATCGTCAACGGTAGAGAGGGACATGGTGGATCAAACCGGTAGCAGCGATGCTTCCGTGTTGAATGAGATCAAGTACCCGGATGTGTACGGCTCGGAACGGGGGTTGGGCGCCCCGACGTATGCGGTGCAAGAGTTGGAGCCGACAGAGTATAGAGGGTGGAAACCACCGCAGGAGCTGTCGAGTATGAGGTCTCCTAGGGAGTTGTCGAATACGTGGGTGGAGAGTATGCCGGTGGAGTTGCCGGCTGGGTCGTTTCACTGGAAAGGTGGAAGTGGGCATGGGAATGTGATATGACGGGTGTACTTGTTTGGTCGTGGGGGGAATGGTGCTTGGAGTGATCAATGAGGGGACTTTTGGATCATTGACGGTTATATTTCTAACATTCTTGACTTTGGGGACGAGGTTTGGAGAACTTGGGAGGCGAGATTATAGGCCCGCTGCAGCATGATACCAGGCGTTAGAGTTACTTTTGAGAACACAATAGAAAAAGTCAAAGAGACGTCAAGTGAGCATAAACAAGTAGTTTACTCAAAGCATCATTTTACTTTGAGTCTATAACCATTTGCTCCTCCCATCTCAGGTCGTGCTGGTAAACTATCGCGAGGGTAAATCACGACCCAAGTGATGCTGAGCGGCATACAACACCCAGGGAATTGCACCAAGGCTGCGTGAGGCTTATGAGTCCTGCATCTGCCTAAACAACATATCAATCACTAAAAGCGCCAGTGGTTTAGTGGTAAAATCCATCG